TTCAACATCAGGACGAAGAGATTTTAGGCTTATTAGTGTATGTAACCCTACTCAGTGAACTCCAATTTTCTGAACACAGATGTTGCCAGCAAAATAATTAGTAGAGAACATAGAGAATCCAGTGGAATATCAAATGTATCAAATATTAAAAATTAATACCTTTTAAAAAGTTGGGAAAGTGATTTTGTGATGGAAAATTGTAACCAATTTTATAGCGTAAACTCTGGAAATGTCTGCATTTTTATAGAAACCGCTCATTGGAAATTGAATATTAAAGAAAATCCCTCTGGGGTAACCTGTTCTTGTTTTCTGAAAATGCTTTGATAGAATCTACTGACAAGATAAAACATAATGAAAGCTGACACTGAAAGTCTGAAACTTTAAGCCATCATCATGTGACAGGAAGCACTGCATGTTACAATATAACAATGCACGATTACATTGTATATACATGTATTTGAGTATCTATGCAAACACAAATGTTTGGGTAAGTAAAATAGGAATTTGTAATTTAAGGATAGTTTCTATTCACTTCCTCCTTAGTTACATACTTTGCATTCTTTTAAGTGACAGAATCTACAAGGCATGTTTTTAGACAGTCCATCTCTATCCTCTGAATACAGTCCAGTAACTTTATAGGCAACTGATGGCAGTAATTTACTTTTAACAGAATAACAGAATTGGAGGAGACCTTCTAGTCCAATCCCCTGCTCAAGCAGGAAACCTTATACAAGACAAATGATTGTCTAGTCTCTTCTTAAAAACCCTCCAGTGTTGGAGTATCCTGTCTTCAGATGCTTTGGAGAGTAGATTGAGCCTTTCTTCTTTGTGGCAGAACCAAAATCAATAGGTGGAAACTAATCTATGCAGAACCAACCTAGAACTAAGGAGAAATTTGCTGGCAGTTGAACACATAATTAGTGGAATGACTTATCTCTAGAAGTTGTAGATACCAGCAAGAATGAACAGCATTTGCTTAAAATGAAGAATGATTGCAGGAATTGAGTATGTCTACTTTAATGAAAAGAAGGACTAGGGGTGACATGATAGCAATGTTCCAATATCTAAGGAGCCCCTTCATTTTAACCAAATGGTCATTCTTGCTGATTAAAAGATTAATGGGTTTCTGCTTACCTTGTTTCTATTACATATGTAACTTTGACTTGAATGCTGAATGAACACAATGCAATGTTTTAGTTGTATCTGTAGCGGCTTATGGCCACTAATTTGATATTTGGCTATGTGTACATTTTGTTTTAAATGCTGTTATTAGTGTTCTTTATCTTACACTTTGGATGAAAAGGCTCTAAAGCAGTTTACTAAGATCTATAATTAAAATCTAAAATACATAAACACAAAATGAAAAGGGATTGGAGAGAAAAGAGGAAAATACCAAGTCAAGCACTGTTCCTTAATTAGGAAATGGTTATTAATGTTCTTTCTAACCCAAAAGAAAGAAAGAAATATCTCCTATATGCTATTTCGCTGAGTAACCAACAGGATTTGTAAATCTCATAATACTTCTCCTGCCATAATGCTCTCTTTGAAAGAGAGATGCTCTACCTGAAGGAATAACCTTCATTTTCTGTCCTGACTTTAAGTGTGCAGAAAGGTAATGCCTTTCTAAATTGTACCTTTCTTTTTCTTTTCAGATTCACCTTTTGTCATTGTTTATCTGACAGTAGTCGAACCATCAGAAGGGAAATTACTGCACAATTAAAATATTAGACTAGGCACTACAGAGGCTCACTTCTGGTTTTCTATTCATTGCACACAAGCACTCTAAGGATGTGTTTTGCCCAAATTGTTGGGGGAAATATGCTGATTCTTTAAACTGCTTAGAGAGGGCTGTAAAGCACTGTGAAGCGGTATATAAGTCTAAGTGCTATTGCTATTTATTTTCAGTTTAATTTATTAATGTCCTTAGAATTTATTATAAATATGGTCAGTTTTATTTCTGTTTTATTGCTTTGTTTTGAGATCCTCCTTAGCAATGATGGAAGGGGAAGGAAGTGAATATGTCATGGTACTACCTATATTTTTGTTTACAAATATATGTATTTAATCATAGTTGTGTGAAAAAATTGCTTGGATTATTTTTGTAAATCTCTAGTAGAAATGTCATGGGTAGCAAATGAGGATTCTCAGGACCAAGACTGTCAAATCCATGACACAAAAACCTTTCTGTGAAACCAATTTTCCATTATGACATAACTTAATTATGCCTCTTAGTTTTTCTTTAAACCAAGCAAGGCTAATGATGTAGTTTCACCTCTGAAGCTTGGTTTCAGAAAAGCAATAAATTACTTAATGACTTAATTTGCTGCTACCATTTAATGGTTAATTAGCTCCCTGCTTGCAATAGCACAACTTCAATTATTGTCACAGTGAATGTGGCTAACATACAGTAAAGTTATATTTAAGTGTGTATAGCAATTACTAAATTCCTTCCTTAGAGTTAATCAAGGGCATTAATTATACTTCACAGGCAATTTCTAGTTGTTTCCTGAACAATGATCTTGTTTGGTCTTCTTCTGATTTTCTTGTTCTCTTGTGGGGTAGGTATAATCCTCTCATCCTCAGTGATACTTTTTTGGTCCTTAGTCTACTCTAGAATATTTATCAGTTCCATCTACAGACAGAAAATCTGCACCTTGATATTGTTTCTCTAACTGATATTGAATGAAAAGCTTACATGGTCTTAGTATAGGACTCCAGTAGCTGAGTCTCCTGTCAATAATGTCCATCTTCTCCAACAAAAATGTATGTGACCAATGTGAATTCATGAATATATAAATTAAACATGTAACTTTTTGTTCTCCATTGCCAATCAAAGCAGAGGTCTTGTTTATATCAGATTTTTTAAAAAAAAACACAATAAAAATGGATAATGTCCATTTTCAGATATTTATATTAGAACAGATTGCATACCCAAATCAGAAGAAACAACATACAGAACAAGTGGAGAATTAAAATCTGGTAGACTAACCTAGACTAACACCAGGATGACATTTTGTTGACATTGAGAAATCTAGCTAATTTTATTAGGTTCTTTGCTTTTGCTTTTACTGCTTTTTGCTTTTGCTTTGCTTTTTCATTGAGGAAAAAAGGACATTAGCTTGTACAACATTCTACAGATTTTGTAGGAATGTTCAAACATCTTGGTAGATGTCAGTTGTATCTATTGAATAGTCTTCTCTCCCTGTTTAACTTTTTATTGCTCAACTATGCAGTTTAAATAACATGAAATTTAGCTGGATTAATAGTTCAGACTGCAATTACGTCTACAATATCTGCAGATGTTCCTGCAAAATCTTGCGATAAATCATAATATTGTCCAGATATGATTCATAATATTTTGCCTTTCTAGAAAAAAGATTGTCTATTGTTCTCTGAAAGAGTTTTCTGGTTTCTAGCCTTAAGCACTACCAAACTGGCTCTACCATTGATGAACCTTTGCTTAACCTTGTTGTTGTGCTTTCCTCTTAGTTCTACTAGATAAAAGATGTAATAGGTTTTTCTTCTTAAAATGTTATGCCTCTGTTGTGATGGACAAGTTGAGGCAATTGAACATGGGTTCCTGTATTGTTCACTCTACAAAGTGACCTATAGGACTTTTATTTTCTCAATTATTTGTAGTTTGCTTCAAATGAATTTTCTTTTCTGATAACAATCCCTCCATAACATGTAATGTTACAAAGTTTTCTGCAACAGAGTATGAAATTTTCAGAGTGCTATCAGATAGCAACATCCCTGTTAGTTCAATTGTACAAGTTTGTATTTTATACAAATGCAAATTTTATAGAAATAGAAACACAAATTAATTGTATTTGTATAAAACATTTTTGTTATGTAGTAGTTGACAGTTTTAAATTTATTTCAAATGGTGTTTTATTTGAATACTTGCTTTTTTACCTACCATTTCTACATTATATTTTAAAATCTTATATTCTGTAAATGATATGTCTATCCTATACTGGTTGAACATTTGTAATAAGATTTTGGTTTCTATTCTTCTTAGAGAGATTTTATTTCTTTTTCTTTTTTTACACCTGTGATCTGCTGAAAGGTTATCATGGGTGAGTTTCAGCAAATCTGCTCTGAACTTTCATATATATATTCACTTCCAGAGACCTTCCTGACCCATAGGACTTTTTAGACAAAACTTCATCAAACAGGAGAAAAGTAACAAATATTGTTAGGACTAATATCCAAAGAAAATAGTGACAATTTACATCAGGAGTATCAATCTCAAGGCCCACAGGCCATATCTGGCCCACAGGGTGCTTAGATCTGGCCCACGGCACCGCCTTGGAAAAGCAAAGGACCGGCCTACAGTGGCCCTGCCAGGAATGCACAGCCTTACTGAGCTCTGTTTTCAGCTGCAACAGCCTCTAGAAACCCTCTGCCAGTGAAAACAAAGTTTGAGAGATCCACATGCAGCCTTTCTGAGTTCCATTTTTACTGGCAGAGCACTTAGACCACAACAGACACCCCCGACATGAATGGCATCAAGCTGGCCTCACCCATCTTGGCGACACACAGCCATCCCCCTGAGGTCAAACACAACCCTGATGCAGCCCTAAGTGAAGTTGAGTTTGTCACCCCTGATTTACATGATCCTGCGGCAACATTTTCTTAGGTGAATATTCCAAAGTTGGAAAAGACAAGGGATAGTTATTAGCCCCTTATTCTATCAGATCCTTCAAAATAGCATAGGGAGTGGTGATTAGGATTATTGATGGTGATGGTGGGAATCTATTTATCTTCTCTTAAATAGAAATATTCCTTAAATAAGGTCTTTCCAGGAACAAAATGAAATTTGTCAATTGTCCAACATAAAGAACTTGTCCAGGCTATATTAACAACAAAGGTTAAGTTCCTGCATCCCAGATTCATTACACAGAGTGCTTTATAATACTTACTTCCTCATTTGTCACAAGTAATCACTTCCATTTAAAGGGAAACATGTTGCTCTTTTGTCATTATCTAATCTTTAGATGTAGCTACTAAAATGAGAAAACGTTGCGGAGAGACTGGTGCAGAATCACTGCAATCCATCCCAGTTGAGTCAGTAGAGGCACTGAGGTAAGATGATCTGTCTTGGTGCCTGACATGCCAGAGAGAAGACTAATGGAGGTAAGTAGCTTCTATATTTATGCTCTCTAGATACCATTGAAGGAACAGCTCCATGGGCACAGTGCCAGGCTACTCTGTAGATCAGCTTCAAAGGGCCAATTCAGTTGAATCATCTTATATCAAATTAAAACAAAATCCATTTTACACAATCTAAGTGAAAATTTAACTGGAAATTCATAAAATACAGGTGATCATGAGGGAACCCAATCCCTTGCCTCCTATAATAACCTTCTGGGATTCAACCAAAAACTATAGATGAAAATTGAAGAAATTCAAGATGAAAGAGTATCAAAAAATGAATGTTAATAACATTTGCCTATTTTTTCTCCCTCAATACAGTCATTAGAATTTATGTGTGAATGAAGCCCATAAAAATAGTGATTCTGAAGTAACAGTTTGCAATATTTCAATTTCAGATAGCTACAGCAATTTGAATCTTAATTTACAGTAATTATGTTCTCTTCTTGCTGCTTCAGAACTTTAGATCACGTTCATCCCTCTTCTATTTCAAGTGCCTAATTTTGTAATTTGAGTATTTTACAGCTTTTAAGAGTTTGAGGAATGCATGCATATGAAAGCCATCTTTATATCTAACTTATTTGTAAAAAACTTATTCCATTAATACTGAGGAGAAATTCAATGCTCACTTGTAAACAATAATAAATAACCCTAAATTTTAGAATACATTAAACACATAGGTACAAAACCACTCTTCTCCTCCTTGTCTATTTCTCCTACACCCCAGTTCCCTCTCTTCTGTTGTTTTCATAGCTAAACATGTACTATTACTTGCTGCATCACAGGAGTAACTCAATTAAGCAATAATAGCAATGCTATTTATCTCCTCCAGTATGAAAAGAGGTAAATAAACTGCAGAGTATATATGAAAAATCACACAATCCTATACTTTTCTCTTAGAAATAAACCTCCTTGAATTCAGTGGGAATTATGCCCAAATAAAAATGTATAGGATTGAAGCCCTAGGTGGTTAGATATCAGATGCTTATTCCTAGCAAGTTGTTATTTAAGATTTTCCCTGGAACTGTTAAAAAAAACCTGAAGTCTAACTGTTTGCAGAAATCCCACCAGTTAAACTTTGAATAGGGAAGGACATTTAACAGGTTTGCAAGCTGTGAAATAGTTTGAGGCTGGCAGAGAAAAAAATCTGTCAGTTCACAACTTCATTGAAATAATAATAAAAAGATTCACTGAAATTATTGTACACAATTTGGATTCTTGGCATCAATAACTTGTGATCTAGGGTCTGCTATCTATCTATCTATCTATCTATCTNATTCAAACTGCCAAACTGCCAATCTTTCTGATCGACAAGCTCAGCATCTTAGCCACTGAGCCACCACGTCCCTTACTGTCTAGACAATGATAATGTGACTTTTTAAAAAAAGGATTATAGGCCTACACAAATATGAACATTGTTCTATTTATTGTCTTTGTATTTGAAGCACTAGAACAAATTGGTAAGAGTTTCTGGCTTCCCAAATGGTCTGAACAAAATAGACCAGACATGCCCTTTGTTTGAAGATTCCCAAAGAAGAAGCCAACAGATTTATCACATCCAATACTTTGAACTTTAATAAGATTTGTATGCCGCCCACTCCCTTGGGACTCTAAAGACATTATTGAATTTTCTCAGAATATATTAGTGGATGAGAAGTAACCCATGAATTTGCCAACTGCTTGAAAGCAGAAAAGAGCCAGTTGGGTGTAATGATTAAGGTACCAGAGTTTGTAAGTTCTAGTCTTGCTTGAGACACAAAGCCAGATGGGTGATTTTGAACCATTCACTGACTCAGTCCTAAGAGTCGAGCAATGGCAACTCATTTCTGAATCCTTGCTAAGAAAACTGCAGCAACCTGTCCAGGCAGTTTCCAGAAGTCAAGACTTTGAGGTATGCACATGCACGGGCACACACACATGCATGCACACACAGACACAGACACACACAGCAGGTGAAAGCACAGACTTCTGACTTTAGGATTGGAGTAAGATTTATTAGTCTAGATTTATTGAAAAGCTGGATTTGATTCTTGGGCCTTGCTGGACTGCTTATAGACAAGGTTTGATGTTTCATCCTACTTTGGACACTGACTCTTGACAGCTTTTGGTCCTATTCTATTTATAATTAGTTGTTTTTTACTCTGGATGCCAGGTTGATGGTTCAATCATATTGCAGACAGGATATCCTGTCTTGCGAGCAAACAGTAGACTTATTTTTCCTTAGTTGTCTTCTTCCTGATTAAGAGAAGACTTGCCAACTTTCTAATTCTTCCTTTCGATTATAAGACTCATTGTACTCTTGATAAATCTCAGAGGACATCCTTTTGCCATTTCTCAGGTACTTAAGCTCTAAATGATCAGTCTACATCAAATTCTTTCTTTAGAAAGGCATTTAGCAGTACTCACCAAACAGCCCATTTGCTGATTTTATTTCCTGCACTGCTTGAACATTATGCCTACCATATTTAAGCTGGTAGCATATGTTCAATTTTCCTCTTTGGAGTCAGTATGCAGAAGATACCAAGAAAAATCAAGTCAACATTTTTTTACATTACCTAGCAACAAAGCAACAAGTTGCAGCACCTAGTTCAAATCACATTTGGTGTCCAAGCAAAGGTAAGACAGTGCTGTTTATTTGACATCTTCTCTCTCTTAACATACGCACATTCACTGAAATCACATGTTCCTTTTACAAGATGATACACTATGAATTTCCTGGGCTAGAATTATATTCAGAACACATTTATATTTAGATGTTAATCTTGCAATATAGATTTCGGTGTAAATAAATAAGTATACATTAAAAGGATGTACTCAAGAAAATTTGCCAATTGCAAACATGTAACAAAATCTGCTGATTTTAAAGATGGGTTTAAATGCCCATTTTTATGAGTTTGGAAATAAACACATATCTTAATGTGGAAATAAAATGGAATACAATGATGAAGGAATATAAGTGACAATTACTAGGGATAATACATTTATTCAATCATTCTTTATTTTCAACAAATTATTCCTATAATGAGTAGGATGCCATTTTCTTATTATATAACTTTCTTGATTTCACTGAACTACAGAATGAAAGATGAAGATGAAACTTAAATACTTTGACCACCTAATTAGAAGGAAGGACTCACTGGAGAACAGGCTAATGCTGGGAAAGATTAAGGGCAAAAGAAGAAGGGGACAATAGACAATAAGGTGGTGGATGGAGTCACCGAAGCAATAGCAATAGCAATAGCAATAGCAGTAGACTTATATACCGCTTCATAGGCCTTTCAGGCCTCTCTAAGCGGTTTACAGAGAG